TTTAATAAATAATTGTAAACCTTTTCGTAATCTTTTAATTTTTTAACATTATGTCACAACATAACGATGAATAAAAGAAGATGTGTCACAATACTTAATTTCAATTTGTCCAAAAAGGGAAGAAGAACAATTAATTAAAATCAATTAAAACATCACTAATAATACTAACATCGTATTATTTGCATTTAAAACAATTTTGTTGATACAATTTACTAAATTTATTTGATGAAAATATGGAAAACTGTCGTATAAGTAAGTACCTATATTTATTCCCAGAATAATTTTTATAACTTAGTTAAAATTATGTATACTTATATTTATATTAAANAATTAAAAGACGAATGCACTTCTTAACGAAAATGATTTAATATTCTGCAATATTTAATTGTATTGTATTCAAAAAAGGTAAAATGAATTGAAAATAAATATTCGAAAACGTATTTAAATCAAAAGTTAAAAAAAATTAAGCAAACTGTTACAATTACAATTAAGTATTTAAATAAACAGATTTACGAAAATAATTAAAAAGCTTACCGTTTCAAATGTATGTTTCGCGCCATGATCTCGCAGGCTGTTCTAGTGGAGCTGGAAATTACTGCAACCTCAACGCTGGCGCATCAAGACGCAACTGGATTGTTCCAGGCGCCTCGACGCCCGAAGTAAACTTTATTTTCAGTCCTGCGCTATACCATTTTAAATAATCGTACACAAATATACACCCATATTTATGTACATGTCACTATAAGTGCCCCACTTAGTTCCTAGATAACAATCGAAACTTCCCCTGGTTTGTTCTATCTACCGATGGTTAAACGCATTCGACGCTCTCGCTAGTCAACAAGTGGAAATGTCATTACCTCCCTGACTATAACAATAACTAAATATAGTTATCCACGTATGCACTATAAATACTATCCCCACCTAGACGTCATAGATAAGGGGAGGTTTCCAGGGGCTCAAATCTCGTCTCCCGGAAATTCTCCAATCCGACGATGAATTCGATTCAATAGAAGTATTATTTTCATCAAAAGGCGTAAAGCGCGATCGAAACTAGTATATAAATCATTGCTAACAACTATACATATAGTATATATAAATGTTGTACAACCAATCGCAGCGCAGAATCCTTGCTGCAAGCAGAAATACATTTTTTTAGCGTACTCAGCTCCAACGAGCGTTAATCAAGGTAAAACAATAACTAGCCAATGAGATAGCGGGACTGACATGCAGGCAGGCCCGGGGCCTGTCCCCAGCTAATCCTCAAAAAGAAAATAGGAACCCTCATAGGATCACTTCGTTGTTCGTCGGTCTGTCTATCTCTCAATGCTCTTTTTTTTCCGGAACGCGTAAAAATATTAACTTCAAATTATAACAAATTCAACGCAATTCACTCGTTACAAACTGCAATTATTGCAGCTACATAAAACTTATACAGAAGGTGTTTTAACCGATTTAGTTCTATTTGATGTAAGAGTCAGGTATGATTAAATGTAAGTAGATTATTTTATCTTTAAAATCGCCAGTTTATGCTGCCTATCACGTTCCATAATAAACACAAACGAAAACTAACAAACTGTAAAGCATGGAATACTTTTATAATCGGCAACACATTCAATTTATACAGTTAATTAAACGAAATATTTTCACTGATATTTCATTTACAAAACTTTTGGTGCAACAGTTAGATGTCAATTACATTATACATAATTACTGTACCGTAAATGATAAAGTTAATGTTATTAAACATCGCCTACGGTTAGTTTGAGTTTGAAATAAAAAATGAAAATAATAAATTTTTCGTCATAAATCTCTACATTTTTATAAACGAAAACAAAGCAAATTTTCAACAGATTTGCTCATTCTGGAAAGAAAAAAAATTTACGATTAAACGTAATTGTCAAAGAGTAAATAAAAAAGGACGTAAAACAAACCATAGGGATTGGACGACAGTCGTAACCGTGATTTATAATAAGTAGGTTCTTCTAACCTAGTTTATAGCTCTAACATCAAAAAAATAAAGCAATAAATTAGTAAAAAGGTTCTTGTTACAAAACTATTTTATTCTTACCAACGCATTGCCATTTGAAAGTAATATATGAATGTATAAAACATATAGCCCCATATTTTTATAGATAATGTGGAATTTTTCTTTAAGAAATCCATGAAAGAATATTTTACAAATTATTTATTTCCACTTTTCATTTAGGTGGCGAGAAAACACACATAGTAGAGACCGTAAGTCATCATTGTCGTATACAACGCTAATAATTTAATATCAAAGAGAAATATTATTAAAATGATAACCAAGTACCTAACGAATAAAAAAATACATCCACACCTTCTTTGCGGATTGTTTAGTCCTGATGATAGTAAAATCGTATGATATTATATTTTATGCTGTAATAAATTATTGTGCATCCATTTGGATAAAATTGACGTCAAACACACGTTAAATACACATAATATAAATTTGTTTTCTAGTTCCGTCGGTAAAACAATTTGAATATGTAAAAAAGTAAATACATCAAAAAACTTTTTATCATTTGACTTCGATCTCTTCAATTAAAATATCTCTTTTAGTTTCGTATTTCAATGCAAAAGATTACCACAACTTTATTTATTTTTAATAACGAGTGGTAATGTTAATAGCATGAGAATGGCGAGTTTCATCAACGGTCCATCCATCTGCGATGCTGAACGTGGACTGGAAGGACCTTTGAAGAAGTTTGCGAAACGTTTTAACAGTATCAGTTCGCCTACTGACCGCGAAAGCCTTTACCAATTTATAAGTGACAAAAGTATTTTCTTTAGGTGTCCCTCGTTTAATTCCTTTAAAGTACACGAATGTTTAATTGATTATATTATTATTATCGACCGTATTTAATATCCGTTAAATACAAGGCATTATAATCACTGGACATACGAGAACTTGATAACAAAGACAATACAACATTTCTTAGGTTTTTATATCATACCAACCACAGAAAGTATTTAGGTCCGCATATAACAATAATCGTCTATCAGTTAGTTGTTATATACCTTCCTGAATGTGCGAAGTGTCATTAGAGGATTCATAAGTAACATTTTTACTACAAATGAAAAACACCAGCGTAATAAACACTTCATAGAATTTTTTGGAAAATTTACTTTCTAGCAACACTTTTGGTGAAGGTGCTGTAAGTATATCCTAACTAATCTTATAAATGTGAATATGAGTTTGTTTGTTTGTCGGCTTTTCACGCCTTAACAACTCAATCGATCATCTTGAAAATTTGTAAACACATTGTCAGGGGCACAGAAAAGGACATAGGGTACCTTTTATTCAGAAAAAAATACTACTCTCGAGGGATAGAAAAAAATAGTTTTATGTAGTCAATTTCACGCCTTAATTAATCGATCTATCATCATGGAATTTTGTAAACACATTGTCAGGGGTACATAAAAGGACATAGGGTACCTTTTATTCAGACAAACATACTACTCTCGAGGGATAGGAAAAAATAGTTTCATATAGTCGATTTCACGCCTTAACTACTCAATCGATCATCTTGAAAATTTGTAGACACATTGTTAGGGGTACAGAAAAGGTTATAGGGTACTTTTTATTCAGAAAAAAATACTACTCTCGACGAATAGAAAAAAATTGTTTTATGTAGTCAATTTCACGCCTTAACTAATCGATCGATCATCATGAAATTTTGTAAACACACTGTCAGGGGCCCAGAAAAGGACATAGGGTGCCTTTTATTCAGACAAACATACTACTCTCGAGGGATAGGAAAAAATAGTTTCATATAGTCGATTTCACGCCTTAACTACTCAATCGATCATCTTGAAAATTTGTAGACACATTGTTAGGGGTACAGAAAAGGTTATAGGGTACTTTTTATTCAGAAAAAAATACTACTCTCGACGAATAGAAAAAAATTGTTTTATGTAGTCAATTTCACGCCTTAACTAATCGATCGATCATCATGAAATTTTGTAAACACACTGTCAGGGGCCCAGAAAAGGACATAGGGTGCCTTTTATTCAGACAAACATACTACTCTCGAGGGATAGGAAAAAATAGTTTCATATAGTCGATTTCACGCCTTAACTACTCAATCGATCATCTTGAAAATTTGTAGACACATTGTTAGGGGTACAGAAAAGGTTATAGGGTACTTTTTATTCAGAAAAAAATACTACTCTCGACGAATAGAAAAAAATTGTTTTATGTAGTCAATTTCACGCCTTAACTAATCGATCGATCATCATGAAATTTTGTAAACACACTGTCAGGGGCCCAGAAAAGGACATAGGGTGCCTTTTATTCAGACAAACATACTACTCTCGAGGGATAGGAAAAAATAGTTTCATATAGTCGATTTCACGCCTTAACTACTCAATCGATCATCTTGAAAATTTGTAGACACATTGTTAGGGGTACAGAAAAGGTTATAGGGTACTTTTTATTCAGAAAAAAATACTACTCTCGACGAATAGAAAAAAATAGTTTTATGTAGTCAATTTCACGCCTTAACTAATCGATCGATCATCATGAAATTTTGTAAACACACTGTCAGGGGCCCAGAAAAGGACATAGGGTGCCTTTTATTCAGATAAACATACTACTCCCGAGGGATAGGAAAAAATAGTTTCATATAGTCGATTTCACGCCTTAACTACTCAATCGATCATCATGAAATTTTGTAAACACATTGTCAGGGGCACAGAAAAGGACATAGGGTACCTTTTAATCAGAAAAAAATACTACTCTGGAGAGATAGGAAAAAATAGTTTCATGTAGTCGATTTCACGCCTTAACTAATCAATCGATCATCATGAAATTTTGTAAACACGTACTCAAGGGACAGAAAAGGACATACTTATTTATTCCTAAGAGTATTTTTTTTAATATAACATTTTTATGATTTTCAACCTGATAATCTTTCAGAAAAAATCCTCCTATAGAAAAACCATTTAACAATTAAAGAAATAAAATTAAACTTACTGACCTTTAAAGCTTTCAGCGATGTGGATACTCCGCCCGATTTTGACTCCCACATCCAAAAATCGGTGCCTCAATTCCATATTAAAAGAAGGTTTTCATCACGTTTTCACTCGCGAATCCCGCACTTTTACCGCGCGTACAAACACTACTTTACACTACATTTTTCGCGAAGGAAGATTCGTTTAGATTAAACTAACGGTTTCGTTCGTTTTGATGGAAATGATCTGTAATAAAAAACATAAATAATTTTTAAACACATACTGTCCTGTTTTGGGTCTAAGGGCCGCCGTCGGTTGGAGTCCCATTTTGGTCACGATTACTTATATTCGTATAAATAGAGGAGGAATAGGTATATACAATTCGAACGGGGTACTATCCAACAAACAAAGCCTCATATATAATAAATTTTACAACCCCGTATATTGGCGTAATTTCTTTAAATGTTATTAACTAGCAAATATTTTTATATATTTTTTAATCTGACTAATGTCGATAGTTTTACGACAGTAGACATGTCACTTTCATCAATTTACAGCCAAATTTGTTAGGTCTCCAGTTTGGTGAAAAACAGCTAAATTACATCATTCTTTAGTAAGAAAGAAGGCGCTGTCCAAACAACGCTTTCACGCAACATTTATTCTGAGGATAAGGCAAGAATTGCCTTAATTTTAAATATAAACCGTTTGTTAAATAAGTAAGTAAACTGCGAATGACGTCAAAAAGGCTTTTTAAAATTTAGTATTTCATTTTCAAAATTATTCCCGTTATCTATTGATAGAGTATTATTCACAAAATTCACTGCGAAATAAAGTTAATTACAAAATCGTCCAGTAATTTTAAACGCACTAATGACTCCAAAAACGCATACATTAATAATTTTACTGAAGACTTCAAAGGATATGAATTTGCAATTGAAAATATGCTATGGCGCACTACTTCGTAACGTTAATTAATATTTACAAAATATTCATCATGCACCGATGGCATTATCGTTAATTTTGATGTCCCTATTAGCTTTTCTAGGCTGGCAGAAATCACCTAGTTTTTCCCTCTATAAAATTTTATGTAATTATTTAAAATGCTAGACATTTACATTCGTTAATAAAACTATGTAAATATACTAATTAACTACGATTCAAGTGAAAAATTCCATTATCTGCATCGTATTTTTTTATCATATCAGTAATGTAAATAAATATAGCACTATCAACCAATATTTGAGCATTAGTCGCGGCATTTTGTCAACATAATTCCGAAATCTACTCATATTTCCGAATTTAACCCTGCACGTAGTTAAAGTAGGAGTACCATTATATGTATAAAACTGATTTTAAAATGTACCTAGAAGTTTCTACGAGTACCACACTGTTTCTTTGTTAATATTACTTATCAACATGCAAATGCATTTATGCATATCCACTGTATAGGCAGGTAATTAATAAAAACCATAATTTTTTTCTCTTTAAAAACAGTACTATAATACAAATATATTAGTTAAATATATATAATGTTACGGTAGTGAAACTGACAAAATAAAGTCGCCAAAATGAATTTCGAAAATGCCTTTTCAGGGTTAATTTGCTGCCAAAACAAAAAATTAGGGAATCATGCCTTATGTTTGTTGATTTTTTAATAATTTCCTTTTTCTTACTAATCTTATACGCCTCTCAAGAAATGATGCATGACAATAAAAAGAAAAAAGAAATTAATCGTAACTAATGTTGTAAATGCGAATGTGAGTTCGTTTGTTTGTTTGTTTGTTGGTTTTTCACTCCTTAACTACTCGACACCAATCATCATGAAATTTTGTACAAACATTGTCAGGAATACAAGAAAGCACATAGGGTACCTTTTATCTAGAAAAAATATTGTTCTCGAGGGATAGAAGAAAATTAGTTTTATGTAGTCGATTTCACGCCTTAACTACTCCATCAATCATCATGAAATTTTGTAGACACATTGTCAGGAGTACATAAAAAGACATAGGGTACCCATTATCCAGAAAAAATACTATTCCCAAAGGATAGAATAATTAATATTATGCGGTCGATTTCTCGCCTTAACTACTCGATCGATAAAAATTGATTGTAGGTCGTCGATGATTTTTGACACGTATTTAGGACATCAACGCGTACGAAGCCGCGGGTAAAATGTAGTAAATCAATAAACGTAAAATATCAGCTCCCAATTACCCCCTAAAAACTCCTAAATTCAACATTTTCTAAATCCATTTTGGTCACTTTGTTGTGCTAGCCTCACAATAACAGACAATGTAAGAAAGAATAATGAGTTTTTTAATAAAAAAAATACCGTATTATTCTGAACGATTAAGGCTGTATTATTTAATAATAATTCTATTTTGAACGTTAACTCAGTTAAATTTAATTTGATGTCCATTTTCGTACAGAAAGAGTAAATATTTTATTATTATGCCTAATAATACTCACATTAATAACATTACGTCACAATTTCAAAACTTCATCGAATAAAATATTTATCAATAATAACCAAATAAATAATAAAACATGTTCCAGTAATTTCAATAATGAAACATTATTTGTTGTAAGTCAATATTAACAAACACGTACCGTCCGTTTATTGAAAATGGAGTAGATAATTATTAGAATGATAGAAAAACTATTTAATGAAATAACAGATATAATTAAATCGGTGTGGTCTCCGATATTGAGATTGGCAAACATGGAATGTACACAAATCCCTAAATTCAGTGGCCTACTCATTTTATGGTTTTTTATTTTATTTAATATTATTCTATGTCAAAAGGACTGATTTAGCCCCGTTTCCCGTGCAATTAAATAAGTACTAAAATTTAGTATCCCACTTAAATTAAAAATGTTTAATTTTTATAATCCCGTAATATACAATCAACACAAAATGAATCAAGCATTCCGTAATAAATGTAATTGTTAATTTGCTGTAAAAAATATATCATCATCATGATCTAACGAAAAACTTTTTCACGCAACATTATCGGAAAATTAATATATAAAAACAACTCACCGTTTTTATTATGTCGCTTTCCCTAAATCATTCTTAAGTCGATAAAGGTCTACCCATTTGAGAATTTGAGATATTTTCTCGTAAATGTTGCTCTTCTCAACCCATTTCTCCATTTCCTACCGCAGATATATCAACTTCCGACTTTATATACTAAAGCAGTCATTTCCTTAAAACATGCTCTCACTTAATGCAATACTGTAAAGTCTTTATTTAAAAGGTTATTGCATGCTTACCTTCATTCATGTGCACCTTATTTAATGTTACTTGACTTAATAGATACGTAAATAGCAAAGCAAAACCTACTATAATCCTTTTACTATTCAAATATTTTGGTGCACATTGAACTACTTGACGATTGCAGTTACAAAAGGGTTTTCTTCCTTTTCTACTCGCCATCGTTAACGAAACAATTAAATGTAATGTGTAAAGTTTTTCTTGCTAGTAGGATTATTTATTTATATATAAAAATAATGTAATTTGTAATAATTTTCCACTTCACCATATTTTTATGTTTTGGAAACATACGTACCATCTACCGGCGAAACGCTAAAACGCCTATACACATCTATAATTTCTATTGCAGTTTTCGTATATACTGTTTAACTAGTAGAGAAAAATGCGGTAAAATTTAAACTTACAATCTAGATCAATACATTATATTGTTTCTTAACGCTCAAAATTATTTTGTGTAGCAAATTCCACCACTTACCTTCAGATTTCTGCGGTGCATTGAAACTATTTCACAATTACAAAAAAACAATATAAGACAACGAATATTGTCGAAGTAAAAAGAAAAACTCAAAAACACGTTATAAAATTTATTAGTCATACAAAAATTCTATACAGAAAATTTTTGTTGCACAATTTAAAATCAAGTACATGGTAAATACACTCAATCTAAGGAAAGGGAACTGAACTAGATAACTCTTGGTCATTAATAAATTGATATATTTANATATAATATATTTACTTTAAATTTCAGCTAAAAAATCATTTTCTAACATTTCAAATTTAAATTAAAGAGAATGTAAGTATCGATGACTGAGTTAAAATTTCTTAGAAGAAATCACAGCCACTCTTCATTCACACATATTCTAAATAAGTGTTCAGATCACAGTGTTTCACTATTGAAGGCACTGGCCTCTATGTTGTTTCATAGCTTGTAAGCAAAGCTGCATCAACAGGCTCCAAGCAACTGGGACAAGTTAAACTGCGCATAAGCCATCCATCTATACACTTCATATGATAGGTGTGCATACATGGAAGACACCGAACTGTATCTCCTACAAGAAATTCTACCATACATATTACACATTCTCTTTCTTTCTTACACCCATCATAAGTGCCAATAGGAAGATTCTGAATTAGACCTATACGCTTAGCTATTTTTACTTGTTCTTCTTCTGTCAACTGGACCACAGACCTTGACACACTTGGGGACGGGTAATACACAGGCGAAACGTCTTCGGCAGGAATTGGCTCCTAAAAAGACTTACTAAAATGACTATTTTTAATTGAAAATAAATTTCACTGTTATGTGTTCACAAGAAAGTTTTGAACCAACTAAGTACAACAATTTATTAAAAGATTATAAATCAAGTTCTTATCAGTTAGTCACTCATGAAACATAAATAAACAATTTTGAACCATTACCTAATGACTGGTACAATAACTACATGAAGCTTACAAAAATAATACTATTCCTTTCAAATACCCCCATCCTTTTCATATAATTAAGAGGTAATTACTACTAAATCAATGTTTAAACTTCAGTTTAATATTCTCTCACAAAAAAGTAAAAGATAACAAATTTCATAAAGCCAAACAAAGATGAAATAGGTACCTTCAGCTATTTATACCACATCTAGGAAATAATTGTAATTGTTATTAGTTATTTTTACTTTTTTTCTTATAAAATCTAATGAATAAACACCATCAAAAGTTATGAACTCCTAAAACTAAAGAAAAAATAGGTAAAATAGACAAGGTCCCTTGAGAAACTATTATAGGTTTAGGTTTAATTTTAAGTGTAATTGTTAATAGTTTATTGAGGTTTATACCTGGTAAGGTTGCCCCAGCTGATCCGAAGAAGACTCACGGACACTGTCGCTACCCCGCAACAAAGAAATGTCATCTGTAGTGGATCTTTTCAAACAATTACCCATTATGACAGTCTAAACCACTCTCTCATGCCATATTTATTATTGAATGTGTAGCAGAAGTAATCGTTACAAACATCGTTTGTTAATTTTTTACACATGAATGCTAATATTTTATTGTTATTCCCGATTCTTTGCAAATGACCAGATGACAAACAACTAATGACAAGTGAACGAGATGTCCTCGGAATTATTCAGGCTTTAGAATAGATAGCAACACCAATAGTTTTTATAAAAAATCCATAAAAAATAAATCAAACCAACGGTTAGCCTAAGCTAGCCCTGGTGCTTCTTATGTTGATTTTGCAAATCACTTGTGATAATCATCAGGCAAAAAATAAGAACTGTCAAAATTTGAAAGAACTTTCGGAACTCATAAGCAATGATTTCACGCCATCTGTGCAACACCTCATTCACTAACAATTTTAAAAAAAGAAAATAGATTCATTCAAGTAAACTAAGAGAATACTCACCCAATTGAAAGGGCCATAAAAGCAACTAGGCAACCATGAAAAATAATTAGTTGGGTAAAGTTTTGTTTTATTTGAAATTCTATAAGCAAATTACTTTGTAAAACTATATAAACAACTCATAATATAATTAATTTTAAAACTACTACAAACAAATGTGTTATGAACATTATCTTAACATTAAAAACTTTTAATATCATAAAAATTATATTTTTTGATATTTATAACGAATATACCAAAACAATTAGCCAAACCAATTTTTAGAATCCAGAAACTTAGATTATAGATTATATTAATATGTTTGTTTATACTATTCAGTATTATTTATGAAATAAATGGAAACTTTATAAATTTCTCTTTGCAACTTTTTAGTAAGTGTTTCAGCAAGGGACTATATATTTAAGTTACACATGGAATGCGGATACTTACAATGGTGTTTATATTTTATGTGAATCTCCCTACTGATTATGTTATAGTACTTTAGTATAATAAAAAATTAGTCTAGAATTGCCTTTTATAAAGTAGATAAAATTTTCTAATTCCAACTACCAAATAATTTATTAACAACTTGAACACCAACAATGACTTAAAAGAGGATCACGTTTGTTCATCTTGTTCAAATAACTGTTAAAAAAAATCTACGAATATGTAGCGTCAGTTATCACTTCTAAACACACCAATATAGTGATGTTTACAAGCTTTTCTTTTTTTTAAACAACTGATGTAGCTGAAGGACTTGTGCCTTGCATTTTTGCCCGAAGTGTAGGAATATCTTCGTCTATTCGCACCAGCAACCGAAAACGCTGAAACATTAAATTGTATAAATTTATATCACTAAAATCTTAAAAGTACAAGTTGTGACATAATAAAAAAATCAATAAGCTACAAAAAAATATTTTCTCTCCGTCAAGATTTGAACCGATTCCAATGAGAATTCGAGGACTTGGTACACGTAAGCTGTTATCGACAGGATCGAGAACGCCCCTAGACGTACGTTTTTTAATAGCCAAAAAATATGTTATAAAAAAAAAGAGACGTCGACATTACTGACTTAATGATTACAAAAAGAGTGATCGTAAGAGAAAAAGCCGTTATACAAAAAACAAAAATTGTCAAATAATTCTGATCTGTTCGGCAAAAAAAAAGATAATTAATTTATTACCGTTTTTTGATCTCCAGGGGTACTATACCATTTGTAAATCATATAACCAGGTATACAGAGCATTGATGTTAGCGCAGTAAACCATCCAAACAAATGCGCCCACAGAGGAAATTCGTAATTTAAATACTTCACAGGTGTCCATTGTACCAAATTAAATATAAAGACTCCCTAAAGGAAATATTTTATTCGCGTCGTATTAAAAAATCAGACGCACTAATCATACTTACCACACATATAAGTGGAGTTGCAATAGTCCAGCAAAATTTCCACCATGCCATTGGATAATACCCGATCATTTCCTTAATTCCGTCATAGAATCTATCCACCCCGTAAGCCCAAGATATAGAAACGCATTCGAAAAATATCAAAAACAGTAGACAAAATCCACTAACGGCGTATGAGTCAAGAATTTGGAAGACGTACATTCCGCCCTGCATTTTTTGGTACAGTAAACTACTAATAAATTTTCTTATTTTAAATCATTATACTTACTTCAGAAATGCATGATAACCCAACCACATACGAGAGCAAGCACACCACAGCGATAAATATTTCTTTTCTTGGTCGTAACAACTTCGGCCATTCGTCAATAACGGCAGTAACGAAACCTTCCATCGTACAAAACTGAGAATCCAATCCTATCAAAAGAATCATAAAGAAAAATAAACATGCCCAAAGTGGTGAACCTGGAAGTTGAAGAACTGCCGATGGATATGCTAAGAAAGCTAATCCAGGACCTGAAAGATAAACAATTATTTTTTGTCGCTATTGTTCTTCTAAATACATATTGATATCGATTTATAGAAGAAGTTTTACCGGAAGCTGCTACCTCACCAACTGGCTTCTTCTGCTCATGGGCCATAAAGCCCACAACAGAAAATATTACAAACCCAGCAAACATACTTGTAGTAGAATTAACAGAACAAACTATCAAAGCATCCCTACAAAAAAAGATGCATTTCTTTCCTATCAATTAATTAAGTTCTTACTTGTAGACGTTGTTAGTAAATTTATTGTAACTCCCCAGTGCCACCAGCGTTCCTAAACCAAGACCATACGAGAAAAAAATTTGTGTTACAGCATCGATCCAGACTTCCGACTCTTTTAATTTAGAAATGTTAGGCATTACATAGAATTTTATTCCTTCCATTGCACCGGGCAATGTGACTCCTCTTATTAGCAAAATTGTTAAAAGTACGTAAGGGAAAAGTGCTGTGAAATAGACAACTTTTCCAGTCCATTTTACACCTTTCCAAATACAAAAATAGCAAAGAACCCATACTAGTAAAAGGGTTCCTGCCAATTCCCATCGAATTCCTCCCACCTTTTCTATACCTTCTGATATCATCAATGCGCGTCGTCTAAGAAAAAAGAATATTTTTGATAAGTAATCAACAAATTATTAATTGCTTCCACCGGTACTTTACCGGAAATTAAGATTAATGTTTAATCTTTAAAAAACACAATAATCTCCACTATTAATCATGGACTATTAACGATACTATTTGCAGGGTTAATTATGAATAAAACATTTGCTAAATTTATATGTGATTAGGAACGAAGCCAGCTATTTTTTTATTATTATTATACTTACTCCCAAAATTCTTTAACTGGATCGGTCAACTCAGTCAATGTTATGTTGTAGGAATTAACATTACACATCTTTGTAAAAGTATTGTTTATATTATAATGATCCCAACACATGAGAGAATCGCGATCGTAGGGATTTACGCAAAATTGCGTATTCCAATAATTATTGCAAGTTCTCCAAGGAACATCTAGAAATCATATCCAATTAAAAACGTGTTTTTTTTTTTAATAAGGATTACATACCGGACCTTAACGACATAAAGAAGTAAAAAATCGCCCATGCTAAAATAACGATGTAATAAATATTCATCCAACAGGACATGACAGCAGCTGCATAGCCGATTCCTAAAAAATTTGTTTGCTAAAGGAGCTATAGAAACACCAAAATATTGCTTCATTTAAAAACTTTATAAAGTTCCTTAACGTTTACTGACGTATATTTGGAAATACCTTTGAAGATTGGCGCTATTTTAAAGACGCCCAATCCACCAATTGTCATCATTTGACCAAGAGCGAGTTCCATAAAGAACATGGGAATTCCTGCTAGGAACAATGTAATGAAATATGGGACGAGGAAGGCTCCTCCGCCATTTTTATAGCAAAGATAAGGGAACCTCCAAACATTCCCCAACCCTATAGCCAAACCAACGACGGAAAGTATGAAGTCTAGTTTGGTTCCCCATGTTCCTCTCTCAGGAAGAACTTTAACGGTCTTGAATGGTTTCATTTTATTGGCCGAATTTGGTAACTCTTTCAAATTAGGCATCTCTATTTCTTCAACGTATCTGTTCAAATTGATCTTATTTTCTATGCAATCAAAGGATTCCCCTCGTTTCTCCATTGTAAATATTTTATAAATAAAATATGACTGCCCAAAATCGCGATGGAAACCGTCAGCTCATTTCAATTACTAAAGCAATCTAGAAAATTAATTAATCAATTACCAATCGGTTTGTTTAGATGCAAAATAAAACAAAATACGTTGAAAACGTTCTCCAACATTTTTTAAAACTTAAATGTCGATGCAGTCGCAGAAAATGTTCTTTGCAAAAGGAAGTCTTTGTTGTTACCTTCCAAGAGGAAACACTTTGAGAGACTGAAAAGGGAGGAACAGTTCAGTCCTGCATAATTATATCCGAACTGAAGTATGTATATGGAACAATTATTACGGCCTACTAATTTATATAACGAAGTCCTTTTGTCAAGAAAGAGAAAGAAAAAAGGGACATCTATTGTTGCCGATGTCGATAAGTGCCCAAAAATGGTAACCCCTACTCGTTCAGCCATGAATATCGAATTGGAAAAAGTTTGTTGCTGTTTTAATCATAAACAAAATGTAGGTGTATATTGTTACAATCTAGCGTTATTATGTAGGGTAGGAATGCTTTATAAACGAATATATCCGGCAACGGCTAGACTGAATCTAACAGTAACATTTATACGTCTATTATAGCTCCCATGCGATAGCCTAATCTAAAACAAATTATAGTTAGGGTGATAAACATTCTGCATCATCTCAATTGAGAGAATCATCATTGAACCCGCTGTCTCATTCGCGATCTGTTGCTATCTTTTTTTTTTTTTTAAT